AAATACCCATACTTGACGCTTATTTTTTTTCAATACTTGACGGTTTTTAACCGTCAAGTAAGGGTGCGACTATATTAAAGAAATAATACTTGACGGTTAAAAACCGTCAAGTATTAATCTTATACTTGACGGTTATTTTGAAACAACACAAGTATATGAAAGTAAAATATGCACTTCCGCACTTGACGCTTGTTTTGAAACAAGTGTCAAGTATTTATGGCCAATGTTCTTTTGGCCATAAATACTTGACGCTTGTTTCCTTATAACCGTCAAGTATTTACAAATACTTGACGCTTGTTTTGAAACAAGCGTCAACTATATTGATACTTGACGGTTATTTTGAAATAACCGTCAAGTATTAATGACATAATTTTTTTATATGGTAGCTGCTTTTAAAGCAGCCCCCTGCATAAAGATACAGATAAAGATAAAAAACAGCCAGCCAGCAACGAAAATAATGCAATATAATGAATGTTTGTAATAGTATCTCCTATCTAATTAACATAAAAATTCCTATACATTTAACCTTAAAATCTAAAACTTATTTGCAAACTAATGTTTCAAAATTAAGTGGCCTATCCCATAAAAATTGGCCCAAAAATGTGTATATAAATGTAACTAACTATTGTACCGGCCTAACTACTGTTGCTACCCACATATTGAAAACACATTGGGCCACCTCTTCAAGGACCTCTTCTACATGTGCAGTCGTATAACGAACGCAATAGACGTCCTCGAAGTACTGTAAGCAAATAGTTACAACAATTTCAAGTTAATAGGTAGCTAATTAAAATTGTTTAAAATTTATAATTGAAGTGTAATTAAATTTTATATATATACCTTGTTAGATAATGTGGTAGGGGCATGAGTGATAATGTCCTTCATGAACTTCATCAAGCAATAACCACAGTCATTGCTCTGATCTGGCTGGAATGGACACTATAAAAAAACACATATCAATGAAATTGCAAAATATAATGAGACAATTTCTTGATTAAAAACTTGACCAATTAAATGAATACCTTAACAGTGACCCATTTCTCTGAAGATTCGAATGCCCTCATCTTAGGGGACACAGTCATGTCGGTCGCAGTGCGATACAACACCACAGCTCTAAGAAGGAATTATGGAATGAATGTGAGAAATATATATGAATGAAAACTAAAATTAAAAAGAAATAACAAGTAAAAAAATCTAACTTACTCATTAAAAAGTACCACCATATCTTCCCTGTTGCTTGGCTCTCCATTAAGGGGATCGAGATACCATATTTTTGGAGCAACGGGATTAACCACAATAAGCATCCAGTGTCCCCTAACAAGAAACAGCACATGTTACCAAACAAATAAATATAAAAAAATATTTACTCGTAACAAATATTAACAACTCACCCTTGGCAGTAAGGAGCGAGAAATAAAGTATCCTTCGCTGCTCCCCTTTCTCGAAATTGATCCGAAAGCATTCTTGCTTGATTTTCAAGGGCTTCCTTTGTAATATTATTGTGGGGAGAGACATCATGAGGATTAACCAGCTTGATCTTTGACTCGAGGCCACCAGGAACCACGAATGAGGTATAAAGGTGACTTGGGTGAAAAAATATACAAGTTAATATGCTTGCATACTCACACACATAAATAATTCAAGAAATTAACTAATAAATGTTGAAGAATTACCTCATGTAGAAAGTCATCAAACTAGTGCTCGCCATATCGTGCTTGAGGATTTCATTCAAAATTTCATCCCGAACGACTTCAAATGATGCTCTACCAAATAGCCCATCGTCAAAATTAATGATATCCCCTATCGGCTCTTGACGAATCATCCTCGTAGCCGAAGCATAGGTCTCAAGAGAGTCACGGAATTTGTTTTCTACAACAGGCATAGGCACTGCATGTTGTGAAACCGTGACTGACTCTTGAGTATGGCCCGACACCTTATCCTTCAATTTGCTTTTCCCCCTTGGCTATACAATGAAAAAGTTAGACATATATATATATATATATATATAAAGATTTTAAATAATTATATAAATCATATATACCTTTTTCTTTGGTGGCAAGGGGTCCTTTGGCGGCTTTGGGTCCTTTGTCGGCTTTGGTGTACCAACCATAACAAGGTGGCTGGGCCATGCAACGAAGCTCCCCAACGCATCTCCTACCGTCTGCATCTCATCGGTAGGATAAGGTAATGGATACTTGGGGTCGATTGCAACAAGCAAGGAAACCCTAATGCAATCGGGCGGGAGGGGAAGGTTATGGATTGTGTCCCCGGCAATGTTATACACGCGTCCCGTTGCAACTACTTTGCGTGACGGATTGTCTGCTAAATAGTTGCAGTCATTCTCGCCCTAAATAAATGAAGAATGTTAGTTGTTTAGATAAAAATTAGTTGAGCAAATTTAAAAGAGAAATGCATTACCTCGGGTATTTTGTCTGAAGGGACTGTGCAGCTATCTTTTCCGCTGGGGCTAACGTCACCCAAAAGCCTCCTAGGGATCTGGCCCTTCAATAGCATGTCAATTAACTTTGCTTGGGCTTCTAGCTGTTGCTTCATAACATCTTGCTCTTCTCTCAACTCTTGGACCTCGGATGAAGAAGCTGATGTTCGCTTCTTAATCTTGCAAAGTATTGCTTTTTTGTGACACTAAAGCCAACACCCCTAACACAACCAGGGTGGTCAGGGGTCCCCAACGCTCTAGCTAAGATATCCTCATGCTCAGGAAGCTTGCCCTGTGATACTTCTTGAGAGAGGAATCCTATGAAAAGTAGAGCTAATTAGTATGCCTTTTAATAATCATTTATTAATTGATAGATAAGAATAACACTTACAATTTTTTCAGCAACCTCTTTCACACGAGGGTTGTCAATCACTCCATCTTTATTTGTTCGTGCCAATGCCCAGAGTCTTTGGCGGGATATAGTAACATCCGATCCCTCGGCCTAACTTCTTTCTGCTCCACGCCTGCATACCCTAACCTCCCTGCTCTGTAAGGGTATTCATTCTTGGCCACTCTCTTCTTATTTTGGGCGCTCAGTTCCCTTAATCAATAACAAAAATATCCTGTTAGTACACATAGATATATTCAATAAAAGGAACTAAAATTTAAATTTTAAAAACATAAATACCTTAAATTCCTTCTCGCGCTGAGAGACAACAAAAGCATCCCAATCTTCTTGCTTTACTAAAGGCTGTAATAGGGGAGGTACTTGGGCTACAAATTCAGCATCAGGGTCTTTCAAATATTTTTGTGTAATAAAATGTCTGAAAGACTGTAATGCCCTCCCAGTCTTTTGAAGGACAAAATCCTTCTTGCTCTCGTCTATTTCAAATCCTGACTGTAAAATAAAATAAATATGTTAGGTGTATCAATTTATAATATTATAATAGAATATAACTTAGTCAAATGCAACTTATAGATACAGTCTCCCAAACAATGTCCTTCGTGGCTTGATCAACTTTGTGCCAAGATTTTTGTGTGATAAGTACAGTTGTCTTTGCCACAACCCCAATATAACTAATAAACTTTGTAGATTTGATGGCTCGGCCTTTCTTGTTCCACTGCACTGATATTTTTTCCCTGTTGCTCTTGTTTTTGTGACTTCTTCCATTATTGTTAGGCCTCGCTGGATATTGTAATATTCCTGTTCCAATTTTTTTTGTGACAACGGAGCATCAACCAAAGTTGTAGCGGAATCTGATGGAGGGATTTCAGTGGACTCAGAATCTGAAGCCATTTACCTGTAACACAATAAAATTCCAAAATTAATCAACCATGATTAATTCAAATATAATCAACTATATTAATTCAAACATGAAACAAAAATGGCATAATTAATTCAAAGGTTACATGTTCAAGTTGCTCTTTTTCGTTTCCTTGACTTGGGTTTTTTACTTCCCCCTCCTTGAAATATTTTCTCCTTATGCTGAAATAATTTACCCCTCTTTGAAATCCAAATGCCTTCATTGTGATCATTTCTCATGTATAGAGCTTCATCAACAGTGTCGTTACTTTGATTTGATGTCCCTTCGAATGGGTCATCTTTAATTGCTACATTTTCATTTATTTTTTCATGTAACATAAGAATAGACCACCCCTTATTAGCAGGGTCAGGGATATAAAACACTTGTTTGGCTTGTTGCGCTAAAATAAAAGGCTCATCCTTATACCCTTCCTTGTTTAAATTGACTTGTACAAAGCCAAATTAGTAATAAAATTTCAAGTCATTTTTTCGATCAATCCACTTGCACCCAAAAACTGGAACTCGAAAGGATATGTAATCTAAATCCCATATATGCTCAATTACACCAAAGTATGAAATGTTTGCATAGATAGGATTTTTATCCTTAGTGCTGGAAATATGCATGGAATGAGCTACAAGAGTTACACCACTATTTTGCATTGTGCTCCTATCATCTTGCTCCCTTATATAAAATGTGTATTCGTTGACAAGGTAAGCAGTGTAAGAAATGGCCTGTCTGCTTGGACCGTTAGCTAACCATCTCAATTTGTTAGAAACTGAATTGAAATCAACATTTAACTTTTGAAGAATGTGCTCCTTAAACCATATTGTAAAAGTTTTATTGTGTTCCCTAGCATACCAAATTTCTGATTTATTGAGATTGTCCCTCCTAAGTTCAGCCATATGCTTGTCTACATACTCTTCAACCTCTTCAGTGTTGTGCAACACATATAAGTGGGCTTGCTCCCACTGTACACTTGACATAGTAATGACTTTGTTTCCCATGATCCCTTCTCCACTTATTCTACCAATATGTCGAAACTTTGGAAGCCCAACATAGCTAATATGACTCAGGTACTCAGTATAAAAGTCAACAGCCTCTTCACAAATATGCCGTTCAACAATACAACCCTCCGGTCGACTTTGATTTTTCACATAGCCTTTCAAAATCTTCATATAGCGCTCAATAGGATACATCCATCTTAAATAAGCAGGCCCGCACATTTAAACCTCCCTGACCAAGTGAACAGTTAGGTGGATCATAATATCAAAGAATGCCGGTGGAAAATACATCTCAAGCTCACACAGTGTTAATACAATTCGAGCTTGCAACCTTGGTAACTTATATGGGTTAATCACTTTACTGCAAATGGACTTAAAAAACAAACATAACTTAGTGATCGTCCCTCGTACTTTAAGGGGTAAAATTGCATGTATAGCAATTAGAATGAAATTCTCTATTAAAACATAGCAATCGTGAGACTTTAAGCCCTTCAACTTCAAATCTTTCATTGATACAATATTTTTATATTTGAAGAGTAACCCTCAGGAACCTTAACTACATTAAGAAACTCACAAAATGCAGTTTTCTCTTTCTTAGATAGCATATAAGCTGTCGGAGGGAGAAAGTTACGGTTTCCCTTATCTTGGGGTGCTAATTCTTCTCTTATTTCTAAAGAGACCATGTCCAACCTTACTTTTATGCCATCTTTTATTTTTCCTGACACTTGGAGTAAAGTCCCAATAAGATTCTCACAAACATTTTTTTCAATATGCATGACATCAAGAAAATGTCGAACATCCAAGGTGGTCCAATAAGGGAGTTCAAAGAAAATAGATCTCTTCTTTCATCTGGTTATCTCAAGGTGCCTTGCAAATGGTTTGCCAAATTCAATATCCAAATCCTTAATCTTCTCAAACAACTCATCACCAGTTAACGGCAAAGGTGTCTTACCTTCTTCTGGGTTTCCATTGAACGCTTTTCTCAACCGCCGATAATGATGTTCTTGGTGTAAAAACCTACAGTGGCTGAGGTAAACATTCTTCATCCCATGTTGAAGCCTTATAGAATGTGTTCCCTCTTCACAAATAGGGCATCCAAGTTGCCCTTTAATGCTATACCTTGACAGATTGCCATAAGCAGGAAAGTCATTAATTGTACCGAAGAGCATAGCTCTTAAATTAAATCTTTCTTCTCTATACCCATCATATACCTCTATACCTGACTCCCACATGATCTTCAAGTCATCAATTAGAGGAGCCAAATATATGTCTATGTCATTCCCAGGTTGCTTAGGTCCCGCAATTAGCATGGACAACATCATATACTTGCGCTTCATGCAAAGCCATGGAGGAAGGTTATAAATCACCAAAATGACTGGCCAAATGCTGTGGCTACTACTTTGAATCCCATGAGGATTCATCCCGTCGGTAGACAATGCAAGGCGTAGATTCCTACTCTCTTCCCCAAATTTAGGGTACTCATAATCAATCTTTCTCCATTGTAGAGAATCAGCAGGATGACGAAGCATGCCATCTTTTATCCTTTCATCCGCATGCCATGTTAAGTTTTTCACAATTTCTGCACTGCTATACATACGTCTAAATCTAGGCACGATTGGAAAATACCATAGTGCCTTTACGAGACTTGATACATTTTGCTTGTAGCGTGAGGCATTACACTTCGGACACTCAGTTAACGATGCATATTCATTCTAAAATAAAAGGCAATCATTAGGGCACGAGTATATCTTTTCATAACTCATGCCAATTGATCGCATTACTTGTTTTGCGTCATATGTTTGACAAGGAAGCTCATTTTCCTTAGGAAGTAATTCTACTTTCAAATACCCAAGCAACTCAGTAAAGCTTGTATCACTCCATCCATGTTTTGCCTTCATGTTGTACAATTTTAACACTGCTGACAACTTTGATGCACTACAACCAGCATACAACGGTGTCTCCGTATCACTTTTCAATTTCTTAAACATTTCCAGATAATCCTCAAGGTCCTCTTCAACTGCTTTGGCTATCTGTTCAAGACAATCTTCCTCAAGTGTGCATGTGTCAAAATCATCAGGAGATGATGCACAGCTTTCACTATGCTTCTGGCTGCAACCAATATCATCTCTAGTCTCTCCATGCATTATCCAACACTTGTAACTTTGATCCATCCCATTAATCACGAGGTGTTCTTCACAAGTATCTGGACTAACCCGCTTCACAAGACCACACTTTAAACATGGGCAAACAATCCTAGTAAGATCCTCCGCATGCTTAACTGCAAGCTTAACAAAATTTGCCACCCCATCCCAATATTCCTTGGATAGACGATTGACAGACATCCATTCCTTATCCATAATTCCTAGAAAGATTAAGAGGGAAATATGATTAATGACTTTAACTACTCCTAGATAGTGGGAGAATTAGATACAAAGATCAATTAGTCATTAAGTCACTAACCACATGTTTGCACATTCCCTCTTTAATCTTGTTTAAAACTAATAATTATATTTTAATGCTAGCCATTGAAATAATTTCGACAGCATAACAACTTAAAAAAGAGAGTTTCTCGAGCCTTATCCCCTCATCCTATTAATCTAAATGACAACAACAACAACATCCACAACAACAAACACATAAAGTTATATTCAAGAATAATTTAAAAAAAATTGATAGTATATATAACGGCTTAAAATGAGTATTACCAGGTCTTTATGCCTTTAAAAAAATCAAGTTATCCATAATAAGACTATATATGATCCAACAACAATGATAACAACATTAATAAGAAACTCAATTTTAATTAAAATCATATTAAACCACATCAAACACTATATAAATATCAATTTAAAATATCAAAAATATTAAAAACAAGGTAATTAGGTGGTATACTATTTTCATATCCTTAATGAATCTCGTAATATCAACAAAAAAATTGGATGATCCCTTAATTCAATAATTAAGTACCCAAAAACTCAAAACTTCAAACACTCACTGAGAAGAACAACAATGCAGATCAAAATAAATAACACAAAAATTATTTATTATGTATGAAAATCAAAATCAATAACCCATACATTCAAAATGAAGATTAATGATTGGGAAAGTAAGAACCTACCTCAACAAGAAGAGGGAACACCGACTGTGCAGAAAAACAGAGACGAGAGTCTGATGCAGAGTGATAGAGACCGAGAATCCCAACGAACAAGTGCCCATGAGACTTATGGAGGCCGAGAATCAAAAACCCCTCAAGAATCGAGACTGAAAATGTGTTTTTTGGCGGTTAGAGTGACGAAAAATGGGTTTTGGTGGCTCTGGGTTTGTTTCTGAAGACGAAGAATTTGCAGAAATGGAGAGCGAAAAAGAAATCTAGAGAAAATTTAAATGACAATACTTGACGGTTATTTCGTAATAATTGTCAAGTATTACATATTTGACGCTTGTTTTAAAACAATCGTCAAGTATATGGCAGACAAACTTGACGGTTATTTCAAAACAAGCGTCAAGTATGTGAAAAAATTTAATTTTTTTTTCTACTATTAATTTGACGTTTGTTTATTGAAGATCGACGTGTAAATTTTTGCTTTATATGACGGTTATTTATAAAAAAACATCAAATATATATACTTGATGGTTATCTTTAAATAACCGTCAAGTATTTACTTAAATATTTGACGCTTGTTTTGTAGAAACCGTCAAGTATTCTCCGCCTTTTTTATTTGTCATTTTTTTAAATAAACGTCAATTATAAGACGTCAATTATACATCTTTCTGTAGTAGTGATGTAACAAATTGCCTTTATTTAGACAGCACAAAACTTTCACAATGCTTCAATCAAACATGAATTTTTCAGTAATAAAGTAAAAAGTGATTTATAAATGTATAGTACTCATATAATAAAAGCCATCACGTCATCCCAGTCAGAACTTAGGACTCGCAACATTTGTTTTGTTTTCGTATATATGTGGGAGTTTTTAGAAGGTTGCACACACGGTGCAAAGTGTAGGACACGGACATATAGAACAAAAAATAAATCGTCTAGCCTGGAACCCCTATCCTTATCAAAGACATGCATGCATACAGGGCAAGATTTGGATTCAATGAATATCATCATGAATCACACATTGGGGAGGCTCACAAGTGATGTGGGGTTTATAATTTTGAAGCACTCTCATCTAACAAACTAGTCTTTTAGGATTAGATCTCGCTTTGAACTTATGTTCATAATATTGATACTTTTGTTGAGAAGCCAATGCCATGGAAAAAGTTATCTACAGAGGGTTCTGATTAACAAGTGGTCGAGTGAAATGTCATGGAATAGAGCAATCGAGGATGTTATAAGTTAGTCTTTTGGGATAGACTTTCCTTTTAAACTTCTATTTATGACACTAGTGCTTTCATTAAAAGACCATCCAAAAGATTAATCAACTAGATGGGAGAGTCCCTCACACTTCTAAACCTAATAGCACTTGTGAAGCTCTCCATTGTAGGACTCATGACAATGACATAATGACAATCGTTCAATTAGAGATTTTGTCATATGATATTCACAAAATATCAAATCTCAAATTTTTGAAAGGGTAAGTGTGCATGAGGAGTGTTCAAATTATAAAGGTTATTTTAAATTTTTAGAAAGAATTTTATCTTGATATTTTTCAATTGTTGATAAAACTTAATTATTATAATTAAGATACCCGTTGAATAAATAAATTTAGGCCACTCACCCATTGCAAATCTTAGAAGGCACTGTTTAATTCTACATGTAACAAAATGCTTTTTCATTTTGACAACACAACATGTTGTTTTGTGGGTATAAGGTACCACGTAATAGATAGCTATGATTGAAAGAAACAAAAGACCATCACATGGTGCAACATAAAATGCATCTATAAATACAAGGCCTTCATGGCATACATATCTACTACATGCAGGCGCGACATAGCTTTTTTTCCCCCTCTTGGAACTTAAAATGGCAACTGTGTTGCGTTTGCACGCCCTCATCATCTTCAGTCTCTTTCTCTTTGCCTTCTCCATAAGTACTCTTGCCCACGATTTGCGTGACGTGAATGGCGACCCTTTATATAATGGAGGCTTATACTATATATTCCCAGTTTATACAGGAAACGGTGGTGGCCTTGAGCTTGCCAGAACTGGAAGAGATACCTGCCCTCGAACTGTGGTGAAATCTAGCTCTGATACCTCTAAAGGCTTGCCAGCTCGATTGGCGTCCCCATCTACTAGCCTTACTCTCAGATCAGACTTCCTTCTAACAATTGAGTTTCAACTGGAAAATCCGAGCATTTGCTACCGCGGTAGTAGGTTACAGTGGAAGGTTGAAGGAGAATCACAAACAGTGAAGATTGCTTCTTCTAAGGATGAAGAGGAGGTGTTTACTGGTCCATTTAAAATTCAGCCGTATAGAGGTTTCTACAAGCTTGTTTACTGCCCGGTATATCCATATAATGGTCGTGAGTGGTGTACAGATCTGGGAATCTCCATGGACGACCAGAAGAACAGGCGTCTGGTTGTGAAAGATGGAGAACCACTCAAAGTTTGTTTCATTAAGGCTGATCGCAGAGGTGATGAAGAAGACGAAGATTTGGACGAGTGAGCATTGTGTGATGATCGTTTCCTTTATCTCTCCCCTCTTCGGCGTTTTTATTAAGATCTTTATGCAGTCATGTTATTATTATATAAGAGGAGCTTCTTATCAGTTTCCTCTCGTAGCTATATATGTAATAAGACTGCAGTGTACCTGTTAAATCCTCTTGGTGATAAATAAATATTTTATCGATCAGTTGATGGCCTCTCTTAAATATATTTATGCATAGACGCATATGATAATCCTATATACTTATAGGAAACTTTTTAAAAACTTTTCATTGTTTATTTATGTCATTTTATAAAGTCTGAGAAGCAATTAATTATATTTTTGAAATATAATGCCAGTATATTAATAAGTATATTGGTGGATAAAGGGATAAGAAGGGAAGAGAAAGATGGAGTTAGAATTTATTGGAACTAATTAAAAGATAATATTCAAAAGATGAGACAATTTTAAGAACATTAACTAAATTTAAAGAACCTTTTATCTTAATAAATTTGCTAAAAATTATCAATATATAATGGGTTAAGGGTTTTTTTTTTTTTTTTTTTGCTCTAAACCGTAGGTTACAAATGCCTCCAAATTTAACTATGAGTTAATTCTGTCTTTCAACATTAAAGGTTCCCTCTATCATTACTTTAACTTTAAAAATACTTAACGTTCATTAGTCATCAGTGGTTCCATTATTTTTTTAATATTTTTTATGAGGTTAAGGGTATTTTTACCCTTCAACTTCTATTCGAAAGGTCATTTTTGCCTCATAACTCAATATTTTATATAAAAAAAATATAATATATGACTCACTAATAGTCAACTAACGATGAAACAATGACGGAGTAATAAGGAACGGAATCTTTAAAGTTAAAGGAAATAAATAACTCAATTGAGTTTTGCGACATTTGTAACTTTTTGTGTACAATTTAAGAATAAAATGACCCTTAATCCATATATAATATATAGAAGTAGAGAAAATATAAATAATTAATTATACGGGCCTATTTCCCCTCGCACAGGTACAAGACAAGGGATGCACCGTATTAATTAAATCCTCTATAATTAACAAATATTTCATCTGGTCTTATATGAGTCGTTTCTAATTATTTCATTGGAACTAGGAAAATTTTAATTAAATAATTTATATATTGTCTAAAACCAAAAGAAATTTCTCCATCTACCCTAACCAAACACTTAATTTTTGACAATGTGAATAATTAACAGGACAAGTATTCAGGAAAACCAACACGATTTTCTTACAAAGAACTCCTACAATTTAATGGAGTATATGATTTAAAAACCTATACATCATTCCAATCTGAATTTCAGGATGTCACTTAGCAAATGTTTTTTGTGGGTGGTCTTAGAAATAGTGAGTTAATTGCATGCATAGTCCAAGTGTAGGACATGCGCATATGCAGTAAAAGAAAACACTGTCCATCCTTGAACTCCCCAATCCATATCAAAGACATGCATGCGTAACAGGAATTATCTTTATGCATGTAACAAAATGCTTTTCATTTTGACAGCACATATTATTTTGAAGCCATAAGTTGGTACCTAATACATCTACGAACGGAAGAAACAAAAGACCATCACATGATGAAGACCTGTATACTAAAGGCCCTACAGCTTTTTCCCCCAACAAACCTGCGAACATAATGAAAATCTTGTTGCGTTTTCATGCCCTCATCATCATCTTCTACCTCACTAGCCCACCATCATCATGACGAGGATGGCCGCATTCTACTCAATGGAGGGTGGTACTATATATTCCCAGATTTTAAAGGAAATGGTGGTGGTCTTGAGCTTGCCAAAACTGGAAGTCAAACCTGCCCTCGTACTGTTGTCTAGGCTCGTTCTGAGAACTCTAAAGGCTTGCCAGTACAATTGGCGATTCCTGTTGAAATTGTCCATCTCAGACCAGAATATACCCTCACCATTGAATTTTTCATCGACAGCAAAACCCACCCACTTGCCTCCGATAGTCTAGTTACAGTGGAAAGTTGAAGGAGAGTCACAAACAGTGAAGATTGTTGCATCTTGGAAAGAAGAGAACATGCCTGGTCCGTTTAAAATTCATCCATATAGAGATCACTATAAGCTTGTTTGCTACCAAAGTACTGATGAGTTGCTATTAGACAATGGTGAGTACTATCAAGATCTTGGAATCTCCATTGTATTATAACATAAAAGAAGTCTCACATCTAAAAATTAAAAGATAGATTATAAATATATAAGCTTAGGAAGTATTTAATCAAATGACTTAAGCTATTTTGGTAAAGTATATTAGGGCCGTGTGAAGATGTTTCGAGACCTAAGGCAAAATTATTAATAAAACCTAGCATGTGTAATTGTCCCTTCGAAAAAAAAAAGCACTCATCATTTTTTACAAAATCATATATTAAAATTTTATAATATAGTGATCCTAATAAAATACTAAATTAATTCAATAGTGAAAATTAGTGTTAACAAAGTGCTCCTATTCCATCTTATATACTAGGATAGAATATTAACAAGGATATGGGATGGCAGTACATTTTTAACAAAAAAGATATAATTAAAACTAATAATATCAATGATTAACGTGAAAATCTAATAATAATTATACAAATTATAAAAAAAATTTTAATAAAGCTTAAAGGTATCACGTTGATAGTTTAAGACTACACAAGGTCTTGATGCTAATATTTTTAATGTTTTAGGCTTTAGAATAAGAAAAGGAGAAAATGAAAAGTAAAACTGTGAGAATAATTTAACGCAAGCTAATGTAGTGTGAATTATTATCTTATGGATCTCACTATTTTTTTTATGTAGATAATAAATTTAGCTCAATAATTAATATTATAATGGAAATAATTAGAACTTTTCAACAAGAAAAATGATCAATACTTTTTAGGGAGAATTACAATCAAGTTCTACACAAAAAAATTAATTACTGCAAGGTCCATTGACAACTAAACTAAACTACATTGATAATCCTATTGTCAATGTAGTTTAGTTCAGTTATCAATGAACCTTACAGTAATTAATTTTTTTGTGTGAGACTTTAATATAATTGTCCCTACTTTTTATTCTCTTTCATCTACATTTAAATATATGATAATACAAATATCAATTACACACACATATATATACCAGGAGTATTACTAATTTTTTGGAGGCCTAAGGCAATTGCCTCACTTGTCTTATGGCTTCACGACCTTGGAATATACTATTCTTAAGCATATGTAATATAAAAAATCTAATATGATATCACAGCCATTCGATTGGGGACAAAAAAACAAAAAGAGAGAGATAGAGAAAAAATAAAAGAATGAAAGATAAAAAAAATAAGAGACTAAAAAGAGATAGAGAAGAAGAAAAAGAAATTAAATATATCTGAGACCTCTAAGACTAAAAAAAAGTATAAGCCCAAGCAAGAAGAAGAAGAAGAAGAAGAAGAAATGAAAAAAAAAAAGTATTAGAGGGAATATTAGAACATAAAAAAAAATTTCACATCTAAAAATTAGAAGATAGATCAGAAATATATAAACTTAGGAAGTATCTAATTAAATAGCTTAAGTTATTTTGGTGGAGTATATTATCCTTAAACATACTTAATATAAAAAATATAATACATTGACGAGCACAAGTGCACAACAATAGGCGTTTGGCTGTGAAAAATGGAGAACCACTCGTAGTTCACTTCGTGAAGACTGACCGAAGAGGAGACTCTGCTCGAAATAGCATTGTCTGTCTGATGATGATCATCCCTTGGGGATTTTTCTTTGTTAAGGCTTATGCAGTCATATGTTGTTGTTGTACGAAGAACTTCATATCAGTTTCTATCGTTACTACGTAATAAGACTGCAGGTTATTTGTGAATGACCACATACTAATTACACTTAATCTGTAAATACAATAATAACATTTAATCCAACCCCTATCAGAAATTTTGTCATATAATATCAAATCCCAAATTTTTAGAGGAACAACATACATCAAGAGTATTCAGATAGTGAGGATTGTTTAAAATTTTAGAAAAAAATGAAAATGTATCTTAATGATTTTTAAATATTAATAAAAACCAATGGCATATGTAGCATTATAACATTGTATTATTAATTAGAACCCAGTACAATTGGCCATTTAGGCCAGTGAATCAATGAACCAATCCACTAGCCAATTCGATTAAGAGTTTTGGACATGTTGACTATAGGTTGGATTCCCCCCTCCCCTCTCCCATTTTTGAGATTAAAATGTCATATTTTTGAGTTAAAATAACAAAGAAAAAATATTCATATTTTTTTGGTAAAAGGAAGTGTAGATAAGTTGGTTTCTGAACACTTATTAATGTTAGGGCATACCTCTAGGCTTTGAGAGTGCTTACCAATAACGAATCCAGAAACAGATATTCAAACAAAAAATTGAAAACTAATTAAAATATGGGGGCTAATACTAATTTTTACATTTTTTATATGCAAAAATTTAAAAAAAAAAATCCAAAGGGGCAATGATCACTACTGCAAAAAATACATTTTATACCCCTCAATTTACATTACTTTTTGTAAAAGTGACATAAAAAATAGATACGGTGATAATTTTATAAATAAGTACTGAATAATTAAATATGTCTATGTCACTTTTCTTAAAAATGATGTAAAAAAATAATATTCATGTCATTTTTTAGTCAAGGATGTGGATATTTGAAAATAAATTATTTTAAATTAGAATTCTTTAATGCATTATCCATGTCACTTTTATGAGAAAATTGACATGGAAAATAATCAACATCTCTTTTTAATTAAAATGGATGTGGATTTAAAATTTTAAAAATTTAAAATTATAATTTCTAAATCTATGTCACTTTTATTAAAAAAGGATGTAGTTTTCATTCTTAAAAATTAGAAATTTAAATTTATAAAATAAAATATTCTACGTCACTTTTTATATAAAAAGATATGTGGATTTGATTGAAAATTTTGAAATTTAAACTTAAAATTTAAAATGATCCACATTGATTTTTAAGC